CACACTCTTTGATACATCAACTGAAAACTTGACTTTGCTATTTTTAATTAGTGAATCCACAGGTGCTCTAGGATCTGCTCTAAGAGAAGGCTCAACTGCTTTGGAAAGCCACTTAGTAGTAACCTTTGTGTTCTCTGCTGATGCTGGACAAGTGTGCTCCATGTTACACTTCTTAATGCAAAATGTTCTTTCATGAGCTATCCTGGAGGCACACATGTAAAATTCACATCCATGCTCTCTTTGTGAACACCAAACAATAATTCTTGTTGGAATGTTCCTGTGGTAGTGAAAAGACCTCAAAGTCCTTATATGAAAATCTCTTAATGCTTCTCTGAACTGGTAAACAGAATCAAAACACAAGCTCTTGCACAAGAGTAAATGTGAATTGGGAATTGAAGGGTCAAAATATACCCTTTCCTTCATCTTTTTCTTACTACTCTTTGTCTTTGGCTTCTTCATGATGTATGGTAGTTAAACTTCATCTTCTTCTTCCTCATCACTTATGCCTGCATCACCAGCAAAACAAAACTCATCTGCTTCAGGAAACCAATCTTCAAAACATTTTTTTTCTCTACCTCATTGTGACATCTGCTAGTTGGCCTAGGGTTCTTCACATGTTTCACAATAGCAGTACTTTGCAATGTTGTTTCCTCTTGAGAGGCACACTCTATTTCCATTTGTTGAGCAACTTCAACACTCCCATCTGAATGAACTGAATCATCAGAACAAAATTCAGACACTTCAGTGTCTCCTTCAAAGTGGTTCAAATCTGCCTCTCTTTGAATCCTGCTCCTCTCAAGCTGAGCCTTTCTATCATCTATCTCATTCTGAAGCTCAGATTGCTCCACAACCTTTTGCACACAGCAACTCTCTTGAGTGTTCATGTAATTCTGAATAGCCTGTGTGCTTATTCCAAGTTCAACATCTCTCACAACCTTTATGTTCACAACATTAACATGATTAAAAAACTCCAACATTTCATGAACACTAGCTTCATTACCTAAATACTTTACTCTTTCAGATCCAATTTCCTCCTCCTTCACATAGTACATGTAATCACTCTGCCCATACCCTTCACTAGCAATGAGTGATTGTAGAGTAACAAAAGATATATCTGACTCATATATACCCCTTTTCACAGGGTTTCTTCCTTCTAAATGAAACCATATCTCCCACTTCTTGTCAGCAAAACTGCAGAAATAGGTGCTCATGAATTGAATTGAAAATGACAGAGCTACAAGTGCAATACAATTTACTACACAACAATCTCTAACAAACACATCTTACTAATTTGCCAGATTGAAGCAGCTAACCAATTCATGAGCAGCTAACCAAATTGACAGATTGAAGCAGCTAACATAGCAGATGATATTTCCATACCTGCAACCCATTGGCGATGACTGGGCGAGCTGTGCCTCCTGCTGCTGCGAGCTGGCCTGCGTCGAGAAGCTGGTGCTCCCCAACCAATTGTCGACTGAGCCCGCAGCGTCCAAACTTGTGCCACCGCCACCAGCATCGTCGTCGCCGCCGCCACCACCCATATCGCCGACGCCCCCCTCCGGAACCATCGCCGCCATCGTCGTCGCCGCCGCCACCTAGTTCAGAGAGAGGGAGAGGACGGAGAGAGTGCAGCGAGAGGGGAGAGGATCAGATCTTGACCCATTGGCCGACCGACAGCCGCCGTTCCGACAGCGGACGCGCCGATAACGGCCGTCAACGCGCTCCGGCCGCCCGTTAGCCCGCGTGGCAACTGTTCGCGGGCCCAACCGGTCAGAAACGGGGTTAGCGCGGGCGAAGCGAGCGTTTTCGCGAGTTGGTAGTTTTTTGCCACGGTTTAGGAAAAATTTGGTAGTTTCTCGCACAAAAACGTAGAGTGGTAGTTTTTCGTCACGTTTCCGGCAAATGTGGTAGTTTTTGGTTAAATACTCCCCTAAACACATTGATGGCTCAAATTGCTCCATACCCCTTCATAATAAAGGGCAAGATGATCTTTTTCTTATGTACGATACGAGTTTTTTTTTGAGAAACGGATACGAGGGTTTCATAGAGGCAAGAAGTAGTCATTTTGCGCAAGGGCGGCGGCTCATCTTTTTGAAGTTTAATAAAAGAAAGAAAGAATGTAAATGGGCCAGGCCGTCCATTGAGCCTAATATGAACGTACGCCGTATATATCCGGCGAGTACAATACGTTAAATGTCCATATTGCCCTTTATACGTTTTGTGAGGAGGGGGAGGGGTGTACCGAAGCGGGTCTCAAAGAGAAAAGTGTACACCGTGTATTTGAAATGTTGAAGGTTTAACAAAAAAATGTTTCACGTGTACACCCAAAATTTATATTGTGTACTGACCTTTTTGCATGTGTTTTAAAAAGAAAACCTAGAAAAACCAAAAATAAAACCAAAAAAATAAAAAAAACCCAATGAAAACTGATAAAGAAAAAACAAAACTATTGAAAAAGAAATGAAACAGAGCAAGAAATGAAGAAACCCGGTGAAAGAAAACAAAAAAGAGAAAAAACAAAGAAAACCAAAGAGACATAAAAAGGGTAAAGGCCTACAAAAAACCAGGCCAAAACCTGTACAATGACTATTGGGGATATAACCCCGCGATATAACCCGCCGTCATAAAGACCGGGTCATGTTACTGGCGATTCTTGAAGCCAGGCTTCAGATGGGCCAGAGCGGTCAATACGCAGGACTAGAAGCACGACTCACAAGATGGGCCGGCTTAGGGCCCGGGACAAGGCGACGGGCGGCCCAGAGGTATAAGCCGCCATGTGGTGTCTTGCCGCAGAAGGCAAGATAACTTAGAGTTGGACTCAGTCACGGGTCATGACACGACCCAGATTCTTGTAAGCCGGACGCATCGACCTATATATAAAGGCGAGTCCCCGGCATAGAATATGCCAGATGACAATCAATCGATAGCTAGGTCAAGAGAATCCGCTCCCTTGTAATCGATACTCAATCAATAAGCAGAAAAGCAAGAGTAGGCTTTTACCTCCATCGTGAGGGGCCGAACCTGGGTAAACTTGTGTCTCTCGATTCCGCTTAACCCTGTCAAGCTAACCATCTAGTTGCGATGGCCTCACGTCTAAGTCCTCACACTAGGACATCTGCCGTGACAAAACCACGACAATGACCGAACGAAACCACAAGCGTCTCTATTGAATCCTAGTGAACAAAAAAACACGAAAAATGGGCCGAACCAGTAGCTACACATGATGGGAATCCTTCAGGCGACACAGACACTATACTCGCTGTCAGCGAGATGTTTTTTTTTTGTTCTTGATTTTTACACATGTGGTGCGGGCGGTTTCTATGGTGGGAATTGATTTTAGTAGCCTTTCGCCCGGTTTTTGGAAGCTGTCGTAGTGTTTTTTATGGTTTTTTCTGTGTTTCTATTTATCATTATTTTATCTATTTTATTTCTTTCTCCATTTTCCCCTTTTACCTTATTTCAAATAGGCACTGAATATTTTTTTAATACTACACAATGAACATTTTGTAACACACACTGAACATTTTTATTAATGCCATGAATATTGTTTATAATGAGAAAAACATTGTCAAGTGTTAAAACATTCTTTTATTTTTATGAACATTTTTTACTGTACTTTTTTTAAATTACGCATAAAATTCTACATTTTCATAGAATATCATGGACATGTTTTTGAAACATATTGTATTGTGTTTACTATCATGAACCTCTTTATGAATTGTAAGAAACTCTTTTCTAAAGTTAAGAACATATTTTTTAAAACATTGCACCAACATTTCTTAATAATATCATGAACATTTTATAAAATTTTACAATTTTTTTTAAAATGGATAACATTTTTTAATAGCGCAAGAACACAATTTAACACTCCCCGGATATTATTTTTATACAGAGTGAACATTTTGAAGCGACACGGTGTAAATCGAGGCCCACGGCCCAAGCCGTGTAACTGATGTATGCACTTGCAGATTTTTCGAGTGAAATAGTGTAAAGTGGTGGTGCAAATAAAATATTACAAAAAGAAATGATCCGCATTATTAGGCCATGGCCATGCATAATAAGAACGGTCGCAATAACTGAGATATAGGGTCAACGATGCTACATGCCATGATTCCACTTTGTTTTATGGTCCATATATATATTTGAAAAAATAAATATCCCAGAACATCACTTATAGAGTTTGTCGTATTATTTGCGCTATTTTTCAGCATTCACATAATTTGTTCTTAGCGGTGGTTTGCAATAATGGTTCAAGCACTGCTTTGCAATAGCGGAGCACCACCTAGAAACTTGCAGCATCAAGCCTGATTGAGACCAACACATTGCTGTCCGAGTTTCAGACGTTTAAGATAGCCACGCAACGCTGAAACTAAAGATTTTAATTATCCAATTCCCCCCATACTACCATCTTGCTTGTTCCGGGAAGCCAGTTCTCAGAGGTTTTTAATGTGGATCTCTGCTGCGAACTTTATGTTTAGTGCCATATTCGGTCGAAGTTGCAGGGTGTAAATTGAGGTGGAAGAAACCAAGTCAGGTAACCGATGCGTGCATTCATTTCAGCGTTTTCATTCAACTGCATATACACTGCAGATCTCTTGACTGAAAATGGAGTAAGGTGGTGGTGCATGTCAGATTCAGGAAATGCACGCCCGCCTTTCCGGCCAGTGGTAGGGAGGGCATAGAACTAGCCGCTGTTCTTGTTTCAGCAACTGCCAAGTAAGGCTCCTCTTGCAGAAAGTTGATTTAATCGCATTCAACCAAGTTTATGACTTGTGTTTCTGTTACTGCTGCACTTGCACACACCTTCGCATGTGTCGGTCAGCCAGGAAGTAACTGCATTTTCATGGATATAGAGCACTGGACCATCTCCAATGGTGTCACTTTCATTCACCTCTTCCCTCCAACTCGGCGCCCAGGCTATAAGAACGAGACGAGATGAGAGTGGGTGGAGCACCTTCTACCCCCCTTGGATATTTGTAAAGGCCAGTGAACTGAAGAAGATGGGTCTGAGCTCAAGCCTAGTGCCAATGGCATCTGCACTGCTCCTCTTGTGCTGCTTCACTGCCTGTAAGTTACTAACTGCACATTTCATTCCTCAATTTCCGTCTGAAGTGCACGATCATCAATCTCAACTCGAGTAGTAGAACTTCAAGACAGTTTGCTTAATCTGCTGCCATGCCATTGCAGGGAATGCTGCCGCCGCCGCGGCGAGTGGTGGTGGCGGCGATGGTCTGAGGCTGAACTACTACTCCGAGAGCTGCCCGAGGGCGGAGGAGATCGTCAAGGAGCAGGTGAGGAGGCTGTACGAGGAGCACGGCAACACGGCCGTGTCGTGGCTCCGGGCCCTCTTCCACGACTGCACCGTCAAGTCCTGCGACGCGTCGCTGCTCCTGGAGACCGACGCCGCCACGGGCCTCGTCTCCGAGCAGGCCTCCCCGAGGAGCTTCGGCATGCGCAACTTCAAGTACGTGGGCGCCATCAAGTCCGCCCTGGAGCGCGAATGCCCGGGGACAGTGTCGTGCGCCGACGTGCTCGCGCTGGCCGCCAGGGACGGCGCGGCCATGCTGGGCGGGCCGGCGGCGATCCCGATGCGGACGGGGCGGCGGGACGCCACGGAGAGCCGGTACGGCGAGGTGGAGCGGTACGTCCCGAACCACAACGACACGGTGTCGGCGGTGCTGTCCCGGTTCGCGGCCATGGGGCTGGACGCGGAGGCCGTTGTGGCGCTGCTGGGCGCGCACTCGGTGGGCCGCGTCCACTGCAACAACCTGGTGGCGCGGCTGTACCCGGCGGTGGACGGCGGCATGGAGCCGGCGTACGGCGCGTACCTGCGGGGCCGGTGCCCGACGGCGGACGCGAGGGAGGACACCCGCGACGTGGCGTACGCGCGCAACGACCGCGCCACGCCCATGGTGCTCGACAACATGTACCACAAGAACCTGCTGAAAGGCCGGGGCCTCCTGCTCGTGGACCAGCGGCTCGCCTCCGACCCGCGCACCGCACCGTTCGTGAAGAAGATGGCGGCCGATAACGGGTACTTTCGTGAGACGTTCGCGGCGGCGCTGGTGAGGATGTCGGAGAACGGGCCGCTCACCGGCGGGCAGGGGGAGGTCAGGAAGGACTGCAGGTTCGTCAACGCTAAGTAAGGGCTGGTGATCAGTGGCAAGACGTGATCGTGTGTGTGTGTACGTGCTCGTGGCGTGGGGCACGAAAATAATTCAGAGGAAGTGATGAAGGGGCCACGTATCATGTGTGGCTGCGTGCATGCTTGGCTTGATGTATGAGCATGCATGATGCCTGCCTGTACCCGATAAATATGCGTTATCCGAATTCTATGTCACATTTAGATGTGAGATATTATTTACATCTAATATGATGTCACATTTTGCTTGTGGCTCTTTCATTGACAACTTTCTACAGCTGATTCGTTTAATTTTTGTTTGATGGTTGTCCAACCGAGTTTCTCCGTTGGTGCTAAACAAGCTGAGTGCGTCTCGACTGGCGGGTATACACAGCTAGGCACCGAAGCTTCTTGGTTTGTAGCACACAGGAAAAAAAAATCTTAAGTATGTTGTTTCGTCTCAGAAAAAAAACAAGAAAAAGTTGCAAGACAAAAGCCACACTTAAGAAGGAATCGAACTACCATGCCAACTACTTAACGCGTGTCTTCTAGCCACTAGAATAAATGGATGTTTGCGATTATTAATCAGCGTGAATATTTAGGAACTCACTACATCGTCAGATTTGAAACCTTTTTGAACATTTATTAAAAATTTGTGAACAAATTTATAGATGCAGAATATTTAAATAAAAATGTGAACAATATTTGTAGTTGCAAACATTTTTGAAAACACAAGCAATTTTTGAAAACATGAACAATTTAAAAAACTCAAAAAGTTTTTAAAATGCATTTTTAATTTTTTTGAATATTTTCTGAAACACTAACACTTTCCCAAAAACACGGACACATTTTTTTTGAATAGTTATGTCACATCTAAGTATGACATCATCCCACGTATTGTCTCTTGTTTGTTTGTCCAAAAAAGCATAATAGCAGATGAGTGTGCCTGGGCCAGTCCCTCCGCACATGGACAATTGTGAGTCGATAGTTGACATGTAATTGGGCCCCTACAAAATATACGCCCCCTAGTTGCGAGTCGAAGGTTGACTTGCAATTGGGCCCCTAAAAAAACTACATGCCTCGAGTTGCAAGTCGGGGGTGGACTTGCAACTAGGATGAAAACAAAACAACACTCTGAGTTGCGAGTCGATGGTGGACTTGCAACTGGGCCGACAGAAACCCCTAGTTGTAGGTCCAGGGTCTAATCGTAACTACCATGAAGTAAGAACAAAAAAACAGGACCCCTCCCCCCTCCCCCTGAGTTGCGAGTTGAGGGCAGACTCGCAACTAGGGCAACTACAAACCTACATACCCGAGTTGTGAGCATATATATGGTTGACTTGCAACTCGAGCAATTACAAACTACATCCATCGAGTTGCAAGTCAGGGTGGACTTTTAACTTGAGTGAATACAAACTACATCCCCCAAAGTTAAGAGTTGAGGATGGACTTGCAACTAGGGCAACTAGGGCAACTACGAAACTACATCCCCGAGTTGCGAGCACATGGTTAACTTGCAACTGGGCCGAATACTAAAACTATATCCCTCGAGTTGCAACTAGGGGTGGACTTTTAACTTGAGTGAATACAAACTACATACCCCAAAGTTAAGAGTTGAGGATGGACTTGCAACTAGGGCAACTACAAAACTACATCCCCGAGTTGCGAGCACATGGTTAACATGCAATTGGGCCGAATACTAAAACTATATCCCTCGAGTTGCAAGTCGGGGGTGGACTTGCAACTAGGCCGACAAAAAACCCTAGTTGTAGGCCGAGGGTCAAATTACAACTACCATGAAACAAGAAAAAAAACACCCCCGAGTTGCGAGTCGTGGGTAGACTTGCACCTAGGGCAACTACAAAAACTACACCCCGAAGCTATGAGCACATGGTTGACTTGCAACTGGGGTGATTACACACTACATTCCCTCGGGTTGCGAGTCGATTCTGAACTTGCAACTGGGCCGACAGAAACCCCTAGTTGCAGGCAAGGGTCTCAATTGCAACTATGATGAAACAAGAACCAAAAACCTACACCCCCCCTGAGTTGCAAGTCGGGATGGACTTGCAACTAGGGAAACTACAAAACTACATCCCCAAGTTGCGAGTCGAGGGTGGACTTGCAACTGGGGCGATTACAAAAACTGCATGCCTCGAGTGGCAAGTCGGGGGTGGACATGCAACTGGGGCGATTACAAACTACATTCCCTCAAGTTGTGAGTCGATTGTGGACTTGCAACTCGGCCAATAGAAAATCCTAGTTGCAGGTCGAGGGTCTAATTGCAACTACCATGAAACAAGAACAAAAAAAACACCCCTTGAGTTGCGAGTCGAGGGTGGACTTGCAACTAGGGTAACTACAAAACTACACCCCCGAGTTGCGAGTATATGATTGGCTTGCAACTGGGGCGATTACAAATTTACATGCCTCTAGTTGCAAGTTGGGAGTGGACTTGCAACTGGGGTGAAAACAAAACAACACACCCGAGTTCCGAGTCGAGAGTGGACTAGCAACTGAGAGAAAAGAGGTGGGGACCGAGTTGCGAGTCGAGGCTAGACTTGCAGCTGAGGCAAAAAGATGTCTAGGCCTAGTTACAAGTCAAGGGTGAGATCACAATTGGGACAAAAAGGTGGAGCCCGGTTGCGCATCGAGGGCCGAGTTGCAAAATCGGATAAAAATAGTTTGACCCTAGTTGCAAGTCAAGAATGAACTTGCAACTAGGACAAAAAGAAGTGGCCCTTCAATTGTATGTCGGGGTGGAGTTAGAACTCGAAAAATGAAATGGTTGGCCTCCCTGTTGCGTGTCGATAGTGGACATTTAAAATGGGGGAAAAATGAGGCCGGGGCCTGTTTCGTACCATGGGTGGACTTGCAAAAATGGGACAAGAAAAAGCGTCCCCCAATGTGACAAAAATGGATCAGTCTAGTTGCGTATCGAAGGTGGACTGGCAAATGATAGACAAATTGGTCGGGTCTATCGAAGGTAGATTTACAGTTGGTAAAAAGAATGCATTTTAGGGTTGGAGTTCCAACTAGAAGAACAAATTGGTGGCACCCATTTTGTGTTCAGGATGGACTTAAAACTAGGACAAAAAAATTGATCGGACCTAATTGCATATCGACCGTAGGGCAAAGCATGTCTTTTTTACAAAGCAAGTATCGTCGGCATCGAACTTGAAAGAAAATAAAAATACGCAATGACAAATGACATAACATGTTTTTCCCACTTCTACAACACATAAGAGATAAAATAAAGCCACAAGAGTGCAAGAAAAAAAGTCCAATAAAAAAACACACATGCACCGTGAACAGGTCAACAGGTGGAGACAACAGAACATGCAACGCATGAATACATTAGCCGACGATGCGAGATCGAGAATTTGCGTTAAAATTATCCAACAGACGGCAACTTAGATGAGACATTGCTAAATCTTCATGAAGTTTAGAAGGAATGGGGGGACAGTGTCAAAATAATCCGGAAAGACGACAACGTCACCGACTAAAAACAACACAAGAAACAGATTGCTAGTGTGCAGTGATAATGGGCCGACAAAAGCGAAGCTAAACAGGCCTAGGCCAACAAAGAGGATATGCAACAAACAAACAACAACAAGTGAGATGAAAAAGAGGGCTTGCATGAAAAATTTGAAAACTAAATCAAACGATGACAAATTTAGATGAGACATTATTTAAGAAACAGTTGGGAATTTTAAAATATGCTTATATAATTTTAAAAATCATGGATTATAAATGATAAAAATATAAAAAGACATATAAAAACCAAAAGAAAAATAGGGGAAAAAACAAAAGAACGAAAAAACAAGAGTCAGATTCCAGAAGACCGAACAAAAAATACGAGTTGGCAACCTAGCTTTCTATAACTCACAGAACTACATTCAAAAATAAAAATCACCGACCTACCAGTACCTTGTCTTGCCTTTCTCCACTCTAATATCACATTGCTTCAAAAAATTATACAGACAACAAATACGCGGACAATCCACAGTCCAAAAAATGGTAGAAAAGAGTCCACAATCGAGACAAACAACGGCTGCGAGCCTGAGCCCACGAATTAAAAAGGATCAACAACGGCCCACCACCACTTGCATGGCCGGGACAAGCCACACAGGCCGGCTGCGGCAGACAATGCAAAGCGAACGGGTGCGCCACGCGAGACGATCATGTTTGCGCAAAAATTAAAGATAAATAGTATCAACAGTTCTAGACTTAGATGTAAGATAAGTATTTCACATCTAGATATGAAATAATAAACCCGTAGTTTTCGACGCCTGGAACACTGAAATCTCGAAATGGAATTCTGCCCACCTACATATATAGAACAAGTAGCACGATGGTATGGCAGGCATTGATGAACTGAAATCATCTGTTCTAGCGTTGCGTGCTATATAGGGCCTGTTTGGTTCCAGTTTGAAACAGTAGTCGCATTGCATACCCTTCTCAACCCAGTCCGGTTGAAGAAAAACAGGCCCTAATTAATACACCATACAACGTACATTTGATTGCCTGCATCTCTAGTCTCTGCATTAGGTAATACGCAAGTGCATTTTGTTTGATTGGTTGCATTGGCCCTAGCGGCACATGAACACGGCGTTTGGTTGCATACGGCGTACATGTTGTGCTTACCTTGTACCCTAGTTGGTGAGCTTACCCACAATGATCACACCTAGCACACCAACGCCACAACACAGCAATGGTGACGAACTAGGCGAAGATGATGAAGTTCTTCAGCTTCAGGCCAAACTGACGATCCACCTTAGCAGCTTCCACTTTGACAGCTCTAACCTTGGCACTGTCGGCACGGCTGCCTCCGTGCTTTCGCACCCAGGCGGAGTAAGCTTGTTCTGCTGCCTGCCTAGTCTTGAACCCTCTATAGTTGCTGTTGCTATACAATGCCACTTGTGCATTGGCTTCTTCCCATGAACTATAAACCCCTGGAACCTCACCGATGAAAATGGCATACCACTTGCCCTAGCAATGCACAAGAGCAAGAGTTGAAGCAGCAAATCAATGGAGCACAAGTAGCAAGCAAAGTAGCACACAAACAACAATGGAGCAGAAGAGAAGTAAAGCATGCATTATCATACGA